CGCCGACCGGTCGGGAAGACACTGGGCTCCGCAGCAGCAGCGCGCGCAACCCGGTTCGCCACCAGCCTCGCCCGCAGGCGTGCAGCTTCGCTTGGTGGTTCTGTCGGCTCGGGCGGGTGGTTGCTCGTGGCAGGCGGAGTGCTGAAAGCGCCCCCGGCCGCCACAGCGGTCGGCGCTGCCCCTTCCGGCGGCTCAGCAGCCTGCTGCTCCTCGGAGCTGTCCTCCGTGCTGTCCTCGGAGGGCTGGACCATGGCACCTGCAGGATATTACAGGTATACAGGGTTTATAGGGTTTATAGGGTTTAAGGTTTCAGAGTTGAGAGTATAAGGAGTGGTTGTGGAAATAAATAAATAAGCAAATTTGTATATATATATATATATATATATATATATATATACATATCTAGAAGAAACTAGCCGGGAAAGAGTCCGCAGACATATCCCAGAAACACTCCGCAGACACCTGCTTGCGGCCGCAGCCGCAGATGCAGGTGCTGCTTTCCAAGCGACAGTCCGCAGACTGATGTGCCGCTGCTGCAGTCCGCAGACTGCAGCAGCCCCTCCGCGTCCGCAGCCGCAGAGGTTGTGATCCTGACTTCCGCAGACGGAGCCAGGGCAGTCCGCAGACTGCGGCACACTGCATGCGGCCGCAGCCACAGGTGCCATCTCCGCAGAGACCGTTAAGAAAGCGCAGATGATTCTGTATCTCGCCGCAGCAAGACACGGAGTAATAGTATAGTAACTGTATATATATATAGATAGATAGATAGATAGACTACACAAATACATTTTCTGTTCATTGTATATATATATATATCGTGGACTGGAAGGGAAGGAAAAGGGGAGAGAGGATTCTGGCTGTTTCTCAGTGCCAGCATAATCTTGAACTCCTTAAAAAAAATTCAAGAACCGGCATGCCTCGAGGCTTGAAGAGCCAGTCCGCCCCCCAGCCACCTTAGCAGCACCTGTCCAGGCCCTTGAGCAAGGAGGGCTGCGAAGTTTTTTTGTTGCTTTGGACAGTGTCTGTGCATGTGTGGGTGGGTGTGCACATCTCCCTGTGTGTGTGTGTGTGTGTGGGTGTGTTCACGTGTGTGTGTGTGTGTTTATGTGTGTGTGTTCGTGTGTGTGTGTGTGTGTGTGTGTGTGTGTGCGTGTGTTCGTGTGTGTGTGTGTGTGTGGGTGTTTGTGTGTGTGTGTGTGTGTGTGTGTTCGTGTGTGTGTTCGTGTGTGTGTGTGGGTGTGTGTGGGTGTGTGTGTTCGTGTGTGTGTGTGTGTGTGTGTGTGTGTTGTGTGTGTGTGTGTGTGTGTGTGTGTGTGTGTGTGTGTGTGTGTGTGTCCGTGTGTGTGTGTCTCTGTGTGTGTGTGTGTCTCTGTGTGTCTCTGTGTCTGTGTGTGTGTTCCTAACCCTATAACCCCTATACTCTAAACCCTAAACCCTTTCAAAGCCTCCATCGACGTATTATACGGCCTATAAAACTTGGCAAGACTATAACAGCCGACTTTTCTTCTTCAAAGCAGAACTCCACGTGTTTCTCAGCCAAGAAGGCACAAAACCTTGGCCTCAAGATAGATAGAGGTAAATCTCAAGATCAAAAGATCAGGCCGCGAACTCAGCCTTAGCTTTGCGGTAGGCACGGCGGCCAGCTTCAGCAGCGGACTCTTTGCTCTGGCCCGCAGCCAAAGCGCGGTTTCGGGCGCCGTGGTAGGCTCGAGAAACCACACAAGCAAAAGTCTGGGAAAGAGCCTGCTTTCCTGCCGCAGCAGGCTTCTTGCAAGCAGCTGGCTTCTTGTGTTGTGACTGACGCACAACTTTGGGCTTCGTGGCAGCTGCCGGGCGAGCAAAAACCTTGGTCTGAGCAGCCGGGCGGGCAAACCTCTTGCCCTTCTGTGGCTTCTGCTTGTCCTGGGACTGCTTGAAGGCCGAGGCCAGTTCCAGAGCGTTGTCGCGCAACGTGCAAGCCTTGGGCGGGGGGCTCTGCAAGTCTAGGCAAGCCGACGAAGGTGGCTGCTCCTCGCCCGCAGGCGGTGTCACAAGCGACACCTGCTGTGGCTGCTGCGTGGCGGCAGGCGGAGGCGGCAGCGCCAACTGCTGTGCTTGCACTGTGGAAGCCGAGGCTGCTTCGCGAGGCGGCGTTTGAAGTTCCAGACTTCTCTTACCTCTGAAGCGACGTCCCGGGCTAAGGATCTGCAGACCTGGCAGACCTATGCCAGTGTCCGCTGCTGCAGTTTGGCGACCACCCTGCATCATCATGGAGACGAGCGGTGTCACCGCAGCTTGCACAACGGCTGCAAGTTGGTGCCCCGAAGGCTGCGCCCCGGAAGCAAGAGCCTGGCTGGACTGGGCCGTCTGCTCTGCCACAACGCGGTTGGTCTTGCGCAACGGCACACGAGCCGCAAGCTCGTCTAAGCGTCGCTGGGGAACAGGCCACTCAGCTTCCGGCAACGGTGGCTCTGCTGGGACATAAGGCTTCGGCAACTCATCCATGTTTCCAGGGAGCTCCTGCAGCCAAGGCTCCAGACCCTCTGAAGGCAACTTCGAGAGCCTGGAGTACAGCTGCTTCCACAAACGTTTCACCGTCAGAAAGTTCTGGTGCAACTGAAACGAGCTGCTGTCGCCGTTGCGAAAGGTCACAGCAGCAGTCAAGTAGGCCACTGTCAGTTCGCTGGGAAGACGAAGCCCCAGCCCAAAAAGAAACGTTCCCAGCTTCTCTACAGAGTCAACCAAGAACTGTGCCTCCTGCAGGTACCGCCACAGCGATGCCGGCATGTAACGGATGAAGCGGCGATAATCCTGAGGATTTCGCCGCTTAGCAACAGTCTCCTGCTGCTGCTGCTGCTGTGAGGCCATTGCAAAAGCCAAGCTGTCTAAAACGAGCCTACACGAAAAGCACACTGTACAAACTGTATATCAATTACATTTGAGCCAACCAAAACAACCACAGAGGAACAGAGAAAGAGAGAATGACCACCAAATAACTTTTGCAGGGGAGTCTCGTCCTGCCTTCAGCTTTTTCTTCTTGCAAGCAGGAAATCCAGAGTGCAGAGATGTCTACAGCTCCGAGTCGGTGCAGCTTAATTAAAGAAGCTTCAGCTGTGGAGTTTTCGGTGCCAAAGGCCCAGCAGACCTCAATCTGCTATCTCAGTCTTCGTCTTGCTGCTCCGCATGCTTCTGGAACCAAGCCTCGTCGAAAGCATGTCTCCTCAAAAGCTCCCAGCGAAGCTTCAGGCCCAGGTTCCTCGCAGGAGCCTGACGGCTGCTCATCAAGTACCGATAAGTAGCTATCAGTTTGCGGTCGCTGCTCTTCTTCAGAAGATGATTCTGCACTTCGTGCGGATTCACGACCTCCGCCATGCTCAGGCTCAACCTTTTTACACAGCGCAACCACTAAAACTCCCGCGAGCCCAAGCTGCGGAGATGACAGCAATCATGCTAAAAAACTATTTTGTAAGTCCATCCTAAGTCAAAGCTAAGTTCATTCTATGTATTTTGGACGCCATAACTATAAGTCACTTATAACCTCCGGCGAAGTAGCCTTAGTAACATATATGTCCAAGCGAACTTATCGAACTTATAAGTAGCCTAACATACCTTATGTGTAGGTTACCAAATTTATAACTTGCCTTGCATCCTAACTTACAAGTCCGCTAAGCAAAGCGGGGCATCTGGTAGGGACACTTCGGGTCACGTTGTCCATTCGCTTTTTCTGGATGATAGAAGCTTCGTGGCAGATGACCCCGACCGGGCCGTAGATACCATTCAGAGGTGGGAGGAAGGCTTGAGTCATTTCGGTCTGCAGGAGAATGTCGACAAAATGGCTGTCCTGTGTTCTAATCTGCAGCAACAACAGGTCATGATTGCTCGAGGGGTTCCTGCGCGTTCCTTTCAGGATGAGGTCAAGGTCTTGGGTGTCAGCTTCCAGCGTAGCCCCGGGGAACTTTCATCCTCCACCGCAAAGCGTCACACAAATGCTCAAAGCATCCTTTCTCGCATGGACATGCTGCCGTTTCCGGGCCCTTTCCGGGCCCAAGTGTACAGGACTCGTGTCTCACCCTACCTGGTGTGGGGCCACTGGTTGGAGGCACCCACTGATGACTTTTGCCAACAGTGGACCACCCAGGTTAAGCGCACGGTGCGTGTACAGAGGCAGGCGTCCCGACCGTTGTGGCGTCTGTTGCAAGGGCACTGGATCGACCCGGCGCTCAAGTCCGGTTTGGATGCGATGAGCTTCTTTAGGAAAGCCTGCATTCACTGGGGATACAGCCACGCTCAAATCAGGCAGTCGTCATGGGGGAAGCGCATGGACCGCTTTATGAGCACTGCGGGCCTTCGGTATGTCTCGCCCTGGCATTGGCAAACGTCCCAGGGTCGACAGGTGGTATGGCAGGTGAATACCCCTGCTACATCTGCCCAACATGTTGTGAGGGATCTTTGGCGTCGGGCACGCTTTGAGGAATTCCTCCAACAGGATCGTAGAGACTCTAGGGGGCTGGTAGGCAGGGTGCAATATCGTGAGCAGGTAGTCAAAAGCACCGCCGTCCTTTTTGCTTCCGCCACCCAAGAGGAGCGAGGGGTCCTACTTGGGGCTGCATCCAGTGTCGCTTGCTACGATGCCATACGTGCTCGGCGTCTCGAATTCGAAGGCGTTCGCCAGGAATGCCCTTTCTGTGACGACTCGGTGGTGCCAGACTGGTACCACCTGTGCTGGCGTTGCCCTAGGTTTGCTGAGGGACGGCCCCCGGAGCCTAACACGCCGCTCGCTTCTAGGTTAGGTTGGCAAGACAGTGGCTCAAAGGCGGAAGCTCAGGCACGCTTGCAGTACATGTCGGGCGTCCGCAAGGCTGTGCGCATAGCGCATGGCTTTCGGTAGGTTGTGAGCTCTGTGTTGGGTTTTGTCGGTTTAGGCCCTCGGGTTTAGGCTTCCTCTTGTAGGTTGGTTGTGCCTCCCCTTTGGCACGGTTGAATGCGGCTTTTTTTGGTACCGTTTTTTAATTTCCCTCCAGGTGTGTGTCTGGCAGGTTTCCTCTTATGGAACCGAGTCAGTCAAGACAAACGCGCTCTTTGTGCTGGCGATTTCACGGCACTTATGGCCAACTTCGGAGAGATCGCCACCGTGGGCGCCGCTGCCAGGGCGGACTGCAACTTCGGCAAGAACGCTCTCCAGATCCTCACGCGCACCGAGACGATCTCCCCTCCCTGGAAGGAGTTCGTCCCGGCGGGAGCCTCGCCGGCGGTCGACAAGGCCTTGAAGATCAAAGGCCACAAGGACCAGCAGCGCAACCGTGACTACGACATCGTGCAGTGCGCCGTGGACGTCACTAACTCCGCTTCCTACATCGTCCGAGTCATCCTCCAGATTCGCGCCGCAGGCAGTGCCTGTGCGGACCCCAAGTCCTGCGCAGTTGGCATCATGAACATCATTTCCTCCTTTGCGTGGATCTCGCAGTTCACGGCTCTCGCCGTCTCGGACTGCCAAGTGGGTGCCGACCAGAAAGCTCTGTGCACTGCAGACATCTCCGACACTCGGCCGTTCTTGAACTTCTATTATTCTAGAGGGGTGTCCTAAAACTGACAAACTTTTACAACATTTCAACCATCTTTGGCCTAGTTCTAAAGACCCTGCAAGAACGGTCCAGGACATGGTGGCTGCGCTCACCAACGGCCCGGCTGCCGGCATCGCCTCCACTTCTGACTGCGCGGACCTCTAAGGATCGCAGCCTCATACCCAAAACGGGTCCTAAGTACATAATGCTCCTTTAAGGGTTTGGGGCTCCTCGAAGGGCGTAAGGGATCCTCAGTGCGTATATGGTAGAATGTAGGGTTCCTGTATTAAGAATTACTATTATGATTTGGGGAACTAGCCCCCATCATAGTACGTGGGACCTTTTGGGATAGGTGGCGAAGGAGCTGCGACGTTTTGGCATGACGGACGCATAGCGTCACAGCAGCAGCCCCGACCTTTTGAAGGACTGATCTAGGGTTCAGAATCCAGCCTTTTCCCTAGACAGCCAATGGGAGAACTTTAAACTTTTGTCCTCGTAGTTGTGGTCTATCTGAGGACGTTAGAGCTTGCTTGGATCCGGTTGCTAAAGAAGAGAGAGTTTGCTTTAGCCGTATATGTTAGAACCCTCCCCCAAGTAGCCCGAGAAAGCCCCAGATCACTTCTATTCAGGAAGATGAAACGCATTGCAAAAGGACTTGGGGGGGATCTGGAATTGACTACAATGTACTTAGGCCCTACAAACGACTTCGGGGCCCGAAGCATGCGATCTGGGAACTTGGATCCTTAACCGGCGCCTTTAGGGATTTGGGGGTTTAGGATTAAGGGTTTTAGGGTTTGGCAATTTAGGGTTTAGGGGCGGAGCACGGGTGTGGCCGGCTTATGGAGGCACTTCAGAGAGACCTCGTTCAAAAAGGGGTTTAGGCGTTTGGGGTTCAAGGGTTCAGGTGGCAGCTGCTCAAGAATGACCGTGTGGCCCGTAGAAATTACGGGCCGCATCCAGAGAGACACTTCCAGGGCAACCTGTGCTGCCTCTCAAGACTTATGGTTTACATATGCAGGTCGACAGACACAGGGAGAGAGCAAGGGTTCAGATGGTTCACCCCGGTTATCTGAATCAAAACGTTTCATCTAGGGTTCGAAATGGCTGCTCAAATCAACTCACCTGCCGGACTGTTGGCCCCGACATGTTTTGCCAAGTGAGGGCACTACGCAAGACGTCGCTGAGGGTATGGCGCTTTTGAGAGGGTTGACACTCTCAGCTTCTGTTCGCTTGTTTGCTTAGTGCTCTCACCGCGCTGCACGGTGCTTCTGCGGCGTCCTGGGGAGGTGTCAAAGTTGTAGGGCAAAGGGCTGTTCTATTGGAACTGTCGGCTGTCAGCGCCCCGCAGAGTGCACCTTTGGTCACAGACTTGCCGATTGATGCTGCAGCATGCGAAGACCATGATGCGCGTGAAAAGGGTCCACTCAGATGCTGTTCATTTCTCAGCCCAGTTCATGTGCTCGCAGGCCTTGAGCGCAGAGGGTCGAGGGGTGAAGGGCCTCGTGCGACTTGGGCTAGAAAGTGCCAGTAGTGTGAGTCAGCGTGAAAGTCGCGCCGGCATGCCCAAAGCTCTAAACCCAAGCCCATGTGAAGGGGCTTTTCCAGAGAGAGAGAGATAGAAAGAGACATATGGGAGTTTCCGAAAATTAGGGGTACCTTATTTTGGGGTCCTTATGATAAGGATCCTAGTATTTAGGGTACTATATCAGGGTCCCCTTTATTCGGAAACTCCCATATAGTAGAGTCTGTAGCACAGACTTTTGGTCTGAAATGGCTTCCTGGCCTCGCCCTCAGGGGCCAGTTATATACTGCGAAGGTACATGGGACTTTCCGAAAATCGGGGACCCTAATATAGCACCGGTAATAGTAGGATCCTTATTATAAGTATCCCAAAATAGGGTCCCCCTAATTTTCGGAAACTCCCACGTTGACCTCAAGGGAAAGGTTGTTGCAGATGTGGCTCACACGCCCTGTGACTGTGTCAATCGACACTATCCCGGACGATGAGGCCCGCATGGGGTTTAGGAGTTTAGGGCTAATGTAGACGAGGCCAGTCGGAATGACTAGTAAAAGATAGTAAAACCATGCCCTTGTAGTCCTTTTTAACTTTTCTGTTTGGGGGTCAAAGTTGGGGAGTTGCAAGTCTTGTTTCTGAAGTCTTCTGCACATCGACTTGCCGTACGGTTCGAAGAGCTTTGGCAGCCTCAACGCCCCTACCGCGCACTCCGCAGACCTACCTTGACAGCCATGGCGTCCCAGACAACTTCCCGCGATGTCGCCGTGGAGTACGAGGGCCTGGTCCATAAGCATGCCCAGCCAGTGGCTCGCACCTCCCGCAAATGGCGTCTTGGCTGGCCACTTTCGTGATCTTGTCGCGGTTATCGTTTATGATCTGTAGAACTAGAATTTTCGTTGCGTGAGTCTTACGATGTCTTAATGATGATTATGTACTATCTGTACATACGCACAAAAACACATACATTTAGAATAATTTCGAACCTAAATGTCAAGACAAGCAGAAATAGTACACCTACAAATGCAAATGCCAATGCGAATGCGAGTATAGCAGAGTAGAAAAGAAACAACAACACAAAGCAAAGTATAAACTATACCATAAACACACATGTGTACATATTTATATGTATATACGTATACATACGTGGAAGCATATGTTCCAATTACGATTGTTGCTATCATTGCTTCTATGCTTGGCAACAATAATACGGTTGACGACTGCTGCGATTAATCCTCTGCCATATTTTTGTGTATATATCTATATATGCATATGCTACCCCCTTGAAAGACTACAATGTGCATATATATATATATATATACATATGTTTGTCCGTTTGGATCCTTCTGAAGGTACTTCCTCGGTGCCGGCCTAGCACTACTCGGCGTCGCTGGGGTCGCCGCCAAGGCATCGTAGTTTTGAAATGCGAATGAGCCGTTGTAGCCTGTTTGACAGGGTCTTCTAAGGTTTAGTACTAGGAGTTTAAGGCTTTTGATGTCTAGGGTTTAGGTTGTTATTTACCTTTTTGAGGTTAACAAAAAGCCGCAAGTATACAAGTGTTACCTAGGTCTAAACTGCAGCTGTCATTTACATTCCCACTTCCATATATATATATATATATATATATATATATGTATATATATATATATATAATTATGTACATGTGTGTGTGAGTGTCTGTGTTATGTATGTATGTATGTATGTATGTATGTAATTACTCATGTATGTACTGTAGTGTAGTGTAATGTAATGTAATGTAAGTTTGTGGATATATATATATATATACATATATATATATATATATATATATGTATGCATGTTTGCATGTACGCATGTATGGATGTATGCATGTATGGATGTATCTGTGGATGTATGAATGTATGCATTTATTCATATCTGCAGGTATGAATGTACGGATGTATCTCTGGATCAGTGGCGACAGTGGTCATTACATCGCCCTGCTTTTTGATGATGGTGACGATTATGCGGTTTGGCTTGCTGATGGCGGGGCTCCTGCCGCTAGTACTTCTCATGATGTTGTTGCTGATATGTATCAGGACGTGTATATACTGAAATACACGAGAACGGACTGATCACGGAGCGGCTCTGCGTCAGTGCGCCAGTGCCGGAAGCCTGCTCCCCTTTCTAGTGGAGGACGTGACTGTGCAAAGCACAGCTCCATTCAGGAGCATTTTCGACCGCCGAAGGTCGTACTTCTGCAACGTCGGAAGTGAAAGAATTTATCTATGGATGTAAGCAGGTAAGCAGGTATGCATGCAGGCATGCATGCCATGCACGGATGGATGGATGGCTGGGTGGGTGGATGGATGGATGGATGGAGTACCTACTTGGGTTGTTTGAAGCCCCATCAAGAGGGCTGCCACGGAAAGGTGACTGCAGAGAACCTTGCTGCACCCGAAGCCCTACACCCTTAACCCTAGCCCACGTTGTTTCCCGGGTATTGGGGAACTAAGGCAACGAGCTCCGGTGGCGTGCTGTTTTCCTCGAGTGCCGCACGGAAAGGCTGCGGAGTCCGAAACACTAAACTAGGATGCCCAGTAGTACCCCTGTTCCCTTTTTGTAGTCCCAGGTTCCTTATAAAGTTACCCAATACCTAAATAAGGGTAGTACCCTTATTCCCTGTTTGTAGTCCTAGGTTCCTTATAAAGTTACCCTAAACCCAATACCAAAAAGGGAGCCCCTTCTTATTCCTACCGTTGATGGGCAAAATCCTGCATGACCCTAAGGGCTCTAAACTATGAGAACTATGGTATATTCCTTATAATGGGTCATGCAGGATTTTGTCCATCAACCGTAGGTTACTGGGCATCCGAACAAATCCCTCAACCTTCAGCCCTAAAGTCGTCAGCGGATCAGAGGTTTAGCTAGGGGTTTAGGGCTTAGGGCTTAGGGTTTAGGGTTTAGGGTTTGTGAATCCCATTATCTAGACTATAAATCCCTCAACATGCAGCCCTAAAGCCTTAAGCCTTTATGTGAAGTCCATATAAGGAGCCTTAAGAATTAGAAAAGGGTTTGGGGGCCTATTATACTACAGTTATAATTAACAAGGCACCCCCAAAACCCTAAACCCTAGTAGTTGAAGTCCTACAACACTCACTACAAACTGAAGCCCTAGAGGTACCATCCAGGCCGCTGAGACTTGGGAGGAGCTGCCCGGTATTGACAAGGTCATCCGCAAGGCAAAGGGTGTCGGGCTTTTGGGGGTTTTGATGTAGCAAAAACTCAGTAGAGTAGGTAACCTTTATTTTTCGGGGGTACTGTAAGCCCTACAAAATCCCAGTATACTCCCAAGGGTTAACCTTTAGTTCTTAAGGATACTGGACAAGTAGGAACAGGGTCTGTGTTGATGAACTCCACCCCTGCAAGGCGCAGAGCTTGAAGCAGGAAAAGCCGATGCGCAACTTGCAGGATCTCTTCTATGACTCCCAGCCGGAGGAGCTTCCATGGACCCTTAAAGTTATTCAGAACTTAACCTTGTAGCTGTTTGGGTTTAGGGTTTTATTTGGGGTTTGGGCTTACGGTCCGTAGTTTAGGGTTTTTTGGCTCTAAGATTCTAAAAGTTTAGGATGGTTGAAGGTTTATCCTGTAGTTAGTTGGTGGGTATCTGGCAAGCAAGGATTCGCACGGAATG